ATTCACAGGGGTGAATAATTTTCAGAAGTACAGCATGTTGCCTAAAGAGAAAGCATTGAGTGGACTCTGGACAGTTTTTCTTCTTGGTAAACCAATTCCTCACATGACCTGGAATTTTTGGGCCAGCCAGAGACATTACAGAGACATTTCTTGTTGGGTTGCCTCCCCCTGTTCCACTGGCTGCAGCATTCAGCAGCCTTTGATTTCCTTCCAGTCAGTCTGTGGGTTTCATGTCTGTCTTCTGCTGATGCAATTGTGTGTTCGTATTTACACAGTGGGCTGACTGACAGCGGTTGCCACATCCCCTTTGTTTCAAGTTGTGCTTCTTTTGTTGTTCATAGTTTTGGTTTTATGCTATCAGACATTCTTAATTACATCTGTTGGTTAAACTGAGACATTTTAAAATAAAGGACAAAGGACATGTGGCCATGCAGCAGACCAGGGCGGTGTCCTTGGGGGTTTAGGGTATTTAGCTTTTTCAAACTGCTGTTCATTTCTGTTTTTATGCTTGAAATGCTGTGCAAACTCTGAACCAGGAATGTTTTTCCTGTAGATCTTTTCAGATAGAGGTCTTCTCATATTAAGAACTGACAGAAACATGTAATGCTTTTTTTCTGTTATAAATCAATATGTAGAGATGTAGACAAGTGGTGCTTGTCTTCTTACATCAGGGGTCCCCAAACTTTTTCCTGTGAGGGCCACATAACTTTTCCTTTCTCTGGTGGGGGGCCGGAGTCAATTTGTAACAAAAAAAGTGTAACGATTGCAGGAGTGCCTAAATGTAAAAATTTATTGTTTCCTAGAAAGCACAATCAAATAACTCTCTCTGGGTCCTTCACAGAATAAATCCAGGAAATAACACTATTTATGAAATAAATACCATATTTTCCGGAGTATAAGACGCAACCCCAATGTTTTTTTTTTTTAAAAAACCAGTAAACATACACATATAAGCCACACCGGGATATAAGCCGCAGATTTCTCTGCCGTTCTAGGTTTTCCACAACGATGCAGCAGAGGGGGGCGGACACCCAACATTTGAGTTCTTCTTCTTCTTCTTCTTCTTCTTCTTCTTCAGATTTCAACGGCAGCTTGCATCCATTATTGTTGCACTACTGCCATCTATTGGATCCTAATATCTATACCTCAAATTCTGATAATGATCCCAGTATTATTTAAAAAATGAAAAATCTTCTTTTTCCCCTCAATGCTATTTAACTGATCAATAACATTCTCAAATTTCAATTCCGTATGAAAATCTAATTCTGTTTTAATGGGCACTTTCTTCTTTGATTTCCAATTTTGACTTCCAATGATTCACTTCCTACTAAAGAGCCCCCTGGTGGTGGAAGAAAAATCCACATTTAAGCCACACAGGGCTATAAGCCGCAAATTTCAAAGCTTAGGAAAAAAGTAGCGGCTTATAGTCTGGAAAATGCGGTACATGGAAAAAAAATCTAAATGCTCTCTGGTATTGTTCAGGGGGCCGGACCAAATGTGGAGGCGGGCCGGATTCGGCCCGCGGGCCGTAGTTTGGGGACCACTGTCTTACATCCTTTTGAAATGGTTCATTTCTCCTGAAGTCAGTTAAAAGCAGCTTTATAAACCAACCTTGCTTGTGTTTAACATATGAACAAAATTAACATATTAATTTTACTTTATAAACATGCTAATATGGAGTAAACAGATATATTGGTTCCCCTGAACAGAACGGATCCTTGCATCATTGTCATATTTAACCTTAATTAGTATCACTGATATATTCAAGCTTTTGATCAGAGATCCATCTTACTTAAAAGGGATTAGATTCTGGACAAAGGTGAAAGCTCAGGAACTCGGAAAGAAACTCACAGATGTCCATGTTCAAAGTGAAGACTCCAAGATCCTCTCCTAGCAGCTTCATGGTCCTGTGTTTACTGTTGCTAATACTATTGAAAGGCTAAGGTTTCTGCAGCCAACCAGCCAGGAAGTGGAAACAAGAAGAAATATAACCCAAGACAGATAGTGTGGATGGTGGAAAAGGAATCAAGAAAACCATCCAAAACTATATAGTGAACTCCAAGAGCAAGTTATGTAACTTTCTGATAGCACAGTTATAAACCATAATAGATTGTGTTTTCATTCACTCATTCACTTTCTTTTGATACTATGGGGAAAAAAACCCCAAAGAAACCCAAAAAAGCCAAACTGGAATTCACCGTGTCTGATACACAATTCCAACAACTGTAGAGACATCACACATCATTTCTGTAGATCATAGGAGTTGGACGTATACTGGAAGTCTGAAGTGTACAGAGTGAAAAGGAATGGTGAGGGTACTGTACCCTGTGGTGCTCCTGTACTTCTAACCACCTGGTTAGACACACAGTCCTTCAGTCTCACAAACTGTGGTCTGTTTGTCAACCTCAGTTTGTGAGACTGTGAGACAGTCTGCACAGGTATTCAGGACTCTGCTAACCAAAGTTTACAGTTAAAACACTTTTACTGAGTTTTGGTCTCAAACAATTGTACATCCCAGTGAATCATTTTTCACACAAAATGAAGAGTCTTGATTAAATGTTAAAAATCAAGTTAATAAATAGAACTTGAAAATAAGTTGAAATAAAATGAGCTGCCTGAACTTAAGACCTAAGTTTTTTTGATAATAAGGTGAAGGTATGCAGAATTCTGGTGCTGGAAACTCATACAAACGTTTGTACAGATGAATAATTAAATTTATCTGGGTCTCAATAGTATATTCAATTCCTTAGGTGTGGGGGTAAGAAGGGCTTCTTAGGTGAAGAATAGCATACAATAATTGAGAACTACTAGTTTACAATGACCTTGGATCTGGGAAATTAAGAAGAAATGAATAATGGGACAGACTTGAAGGAAAAAGTCTGTCCCAAAATGTGTAGAGGGAAAGTATTCTGTCATGTGAGAGCGCTACCTGATGATTCACCAGATGCTAATTGTACCTTATTGTGCAATGAGGGGACTTGTGACAGCTTTAACTTCTTGATGCAGAGCATGGAGGCTGTGGTGAACTCTCTGTCACACCGGACCTCTTGTTGCTGATAGTGTAAACCCACATATAGGTGGTTAGCACAAATCAGTCATCATGGTCTGCTTTTTGAAATCACTATACCTTAATTGCACTCATTCCTGTTTGTGGTTAATGTAGGTCTGTGACCAATCAGTATGATGACTCATTCACTTTCTTTTGAGCCCTTCTCTGCTATGTATGCCGTCATGTATTGCTGCCTTGCCTTGCAGTGTCTCAGCAGCACAATTGGACAATGTCAATTAGGATCAGTGTTGATAAGCCAAGTAAAACTAAACCAAAGCTGTAGTAAAGTTGACACCATCCATCTATAAAAAATACAAAATTTCCCAATCTGTGATGTTAAATCAGATCCGTTTGTCAGGTTGGCTTGCCAAAATTATTTATGTTTTTTAAAGTCAGAATAATGGGAGAGTTTTTTTCTACTTTCTTTAAATTCATAAGTTGAGCTACAATAGTTGCTGGAGTTTTGGACCATTTTTCTTCGCAGTGTGTATGAGGATGGCAGTTTGTTGCCACCTTCCTCATACACACCTTTGATCTCGACTCAAAGGTATGTATCTCAGCTCAAGCATTCTCTAGGAGGGGGGCGGTAATCCCAGTCCTCTAGGGCCGATGTCCTGCTGCTCTTAGATGTGTCCCTGGACCAACACACTTCAAACAGCTGAATCATCTCCTAAGTGCTGTCAAGTTCTCCAGAGTCCTGCTAATGACCTCATTACTCAGGTGTTGAAATAGAGACGTACCTAAAAGTTGCAGGACACCTGCCCTCCAAGCCTGGAGTTGAAGGCCCCTACTCTAAAGGGTTAAGTTCAGGGCTTTGTGATGGTCACTCCAAAACTTTGACTTTGTTGTCCTTAAGCCACTTTTGTAACTCATTTGGCAGTATGCTTATTGTCCATTTTGAAAAGCCTGTTCCTCCCCTCGCCGATTGTGGCGCTGCACCAAGAACCACTGAAGGAAACAATATGAAAACTTCTGAAGAAGACACTGAACACAACTTCCTTCTCCACGAATGGAAACCAAAATGGAGTGGCATCAGATTTTTAGCAATGGGATTCATGAGTTTGTTTGTTTTTTATTTACTCAGAATGTTGTCCTCTTCCTGTTTTTGGAGCAGCCTCCAGTTCACTTGGCATTCATGCTTTCAAACTGCAACAGAGTTCTCTTAAACCAAATCCAGACTGAGTTGGCTTCTCTGGTCCACATCAGTATTCAATTAATTCACACCTCCCCATATCATCTGGACTATCTAGGCAAATGAAGTGGATTTGGATTAAAGTAGACTGCTGTGAATTCATCCTTTCACAGGTGTATTAAGAGAAAGTTTGATGTGTATTATATTCCTGTCTGTAGCCCAGTGGATTTGACCTGCAGTCGTAAGCCCACCCAGAAGCTGTTCCAGAGGAGCCTGTCTTTTGCTGCAGAAGCTACTTTCCTGACAGTGCAGAGGGGAAGCTGAGCTCATCGACACTTTTGGCCTCCTGCTGTCTTGTTTTTTCCAGTGAGGCTGTGAGATGTGCCGACCAGTAACTCAGGGCCCAATCAGACAGCAGCTGCTGCTGTCTTCACTGGTTCACTCACTGATATTAGGATGAAGTAAACGGCTAAGATTGACACCAATACACTTAGGTGGAGGCTGAGGACAAAAAGGACATTACCTGTACAGGTTTCCTTCAGACCCTCAGTGGCTGAGGGATTATCCCCCTCTAACATTACATCCCTCCATTGATTTATTTTCTCATGCCTTTGACCTAAAGCACAGTTTTCACATCGTTTCCCCCTGTGAGACATGCATATTGTTTCCAAACGAGGTTGTTTAACACTTCATGGAGCGCAATGAAGCAAGCGTGGCTCAATCTGTTACCTCCGTTTAAACTAAACTGTTTTCATCTGTCTTATTGTTATAGTTATCAGCTGTGATTCTGTTTGGTTTCTTTTTATTCCATTTGTCCAGATGACTGTGGAGTGTGTGTCTCAGGTAAGAAGAGGACTGAGAGGGCGCCTAACGTAGATTTGTAGTTGATCCCTGAGCTAAAACCAGACACGGGAAAAGATTATTAATGGTTTTTGACCTAATTATCTTCATCTAAACTCGCATTTTACACAGCTGTTCATTTTATTTGTTTGATAAAAATCTGATAGGAAAATTTGTTAATGATAGTTGGAATAAAAAGCTAGTTTTAATACATTTTACTGTGATTTTATTCCCTTAGACATGCACAGTGTATAGATTTGCAATCTTTATTGCAACATTATTCTTTACTTTAAACAAGCACTTGGTTGAAATTAAGGGTGCATTTGCACCAGCCCTGTTTAGTCTGCTTTAATCAAACTCCAGTTGGTTTGGTAGAAAGTCTGGTTGGTTTGGTTAGTCTGACACAGAGCAGTAAAAGCACACTGCAGCAGCTGGAAAAGGAAAACATGTTGCAACCAAGACTAGCAGACTGTGAAGTGTGAAAATACTACTACAATCAACTACAAAATGTATACCACTGTTCTTAAAAGTTTCAGTTTTAAAGTGAAAAAGGTATTTTCCTGGTGTAGCTCCAACAGTTCCCAGTCCTTTAAATGAAATGTATGGATGGCTTCACTGTGATTATATTTCTTTTACTGTGTGGAACATAGAGCCTGATTCCTCCAGGAATACGGCGTAGATCTCAGGATTGCACAGGGCAGCCATGTTTAATACGAACAAACTCATGTTTAAATCAAACGTCTGGCCGTTCCATTAATCACTACTTCACTGCTGTTGTATATAACCACTGTACAACTTATGTATTTAGAGAATTAAACAAATATGAATACAAATATGAATATAGTTTTTTTTTTCAATTAACACTATTCCCAGCTGAATATGACCACTGTCTATAATATGATAATCAAACATTTTGTACTGAGTAAAAATGTCACATAGGAAGCAAACTGTCCAGACAACAAATCCTAAACTAATATAGCATTAGGAAATGCATCTGTATAAAAGAATGATGTGAAATGTACAGAAAACTGTAACCAGATCTTTTTTAAAATATTAAAATCCCATCATATTTGAATCATTTTCTGAGCATCCAGTTGCAGTGAGCATGTAATGTTGTCAGGTGGAATAAGTGGAAGCTGTTATGAGCTGCATTCTTTACATTTCACACTTATTTTGAAGTAAACAGGAAGAAAAAATTAGGGTGTTTTTGGTAATAATGATTCATTTGTAATAAAAGGGTAAAAGTTTTTCTGGGAACTGTAGGTACAGATGTTTTCTATTAGCAGGGTCCTGGTTCTCTCCGCAGTGAGGATTGCTGTGAGTGAAAGCATGCAGCAGCCGAGGGCAGAGGCTTAGGTTCCTCCATATTACTGAAGGGATGCTGCATCAGACTTAAAGCTGTTGTTACGCCGAGCCAGCATCATAATCTATTAACATCAGACATGATGGGATTACAGGCTGTTAATGAGACCGCACAGCGAGCCAGGGATGGCTTTCATGGCTGCCAGCGTTGGCACAAGTGGATCAACACAAGAGAAACGGTTCACACACGAGACGTAAAGTCCAGCTGCAGTCTGCTCTCATCAGACGCCCTGCCTGCCTCTCACTGTTCTGTTCCCTGTCATCAATTTCCTTCCTGGGAGGCTGATGACAGGGCTGGGTTTTGAACAGCAGGTTGTTTTGTTTCTCCTGAGGAGGAGATGTGAAGGAAGGAATGGAGGAGGAGCTAGCCTGTCTAAATTAGCAGCCATAGGAAAGTGGAGAGGTCAAAGGTGACTCTTTAATGATGCAGTGCTCTGCATGCTGATGTCAGGATCTGCTGTGCTTTGTTTACTTCAGCGCTGATTACATCAGATCCCCAGGGACCATTAGCTTCACCTTCACACTGCGGAGTACGAGGTGTGTGTCATTGACTCAGAGGCAGCAGCCTTTCCTGTCCACAGGGGGCCTTTACTTCATCTGACTTTAGCTGTACAGGTTTTTCTTGGAAAAATGTAGTCTTGAGTTATTTGGACAGATTGGCCCTTTTGTGACCTGTTCTTCTTCCTGTTTGCATCTGAAGTAAAGTGCGGCAGGTTTGCACTAAGAACACTCCTTCCTCTAATTACGGCCTCTGTGTGTCATCAGGTGACGTTCCGCACCAGGATCTATCACTGCAACATCAACAGCCAGGGGGTGATCTGCCTGGACATTCTGAAGGACAACTGGAGTCCTGCCCTCACCATCTCCAAGGTCCTGCTGTCCATCTGCTCCCTGCTCACCGACTGCAACCCTGGTGAGAGCCTCAGCTCCCTCCGACCAGCCTGACTCACATGTTCTCTGTGTTATGTTTTTACTGATGCTGCCACCTAAAAAAACTGATTTTTCAGCATCTTTTTTTTTTTTTTTTTTTTCAAAAAGCTGCGGTCAAAGTTGCACATTTTTCAAGCTTTATTTTTTGCACAAAAGAAATTGAAATTTCTGCACACAATCTTCCTAAAACAGACTGGATTTTAACATAGCTAATATTTAAAGTGCAAATAACATTTTTCTTAAGGTGATATATTGCCTTAAGACTAATCAAATCATGTCCTGAGAAGTCAAAGTGCAAAAGAAGAATTCCTTATTGGTCATTCAAGTTAACATGAACTGTTAACACAGTAGCAGCAAATCCTACTAAACATTTTTGAAAAATAGAAAAGGCAAATGTTAGTGTTTAGTGTTGCATATGATTTCACCTTGCCGGTTCAGTTTTCAAGACGCATTTGAAACAGGAAGTTAAGTTAAAAGGGGGCTGAGAGGATTGGTCAAAGTTTAGCAGAGTAGCAGTGATTAGTCAAACAGGAAGGAAACTGAAAACATGAAGGTCAGATTTGTGGAAAAGTTGTAATGACTGATGAAAATAGCCAGTCTGTGGAAAATTTGTAAATGCTGGTTGAGTTTACCTCCATTTACACATTGATCCTCTGATAATGTGACCTCTGACCCCTCCCAGTGAGCTCTACGTAGCTGATCTGGAAACAACCGTCTGTTTGAAACAACACTGCTGGTGTTCTTCAGCGAGTCTGCATGAGAGGCAGTGAAATGAGACACCAACAGGCCTGAGGTCCTGAACAGAGCCATGAAGGCCTCAGGTCCACAGCAGCAGCAGGAGCCTGCCCAGAACCAATGAAGATGATGAGTTCAGTTGTGTACAGATAAGACCAGATGTGCAACTCCTCTTTGCATCTAAACTTATTTTCACTGGACACACATCAACATTTAGAAAGTTAACGAGTGTCATTATGGCCGGTTCTGGAAGAGTTGGGTGTTATTATGGAGCAGGTAGCATCACCACTAACCTGGTCCTGAGCTGCCCATCCACTTTCTGTCTGCTGCTCTAAAGTCAGGCACTGAGAGGCAGGGGAGGTAAGAGCTGAGGCAGAGGGACGATGTGAAGTGATGGCTGATGGGAACGAGAACGCTGAGTTCTTTCTGTCCCCTCTGTGATAAACTAGGCAGCTAAATGAGAACTGGGTTTTTTCTCCTCCTTAATGAGTTCAGATCCTGTTCAGATCTGCTTGGATCATTCCCTAAGTGTCAATAAACTGAAGGTCTCTAACCTGTGAAAACAACAAGAAGTGTGCTGTATTTAAACTTGATGAATGATGATTTTTTTTTTTAAACTAAAAAGTATAAAACAATTTAGTAAATTATTTTCTGGTTACCTGCTGAGGGATAATTTAAACATTAAATATTGTAATGAATTGCAATACTAACTAAAATTAAATATTAAACACAAATCAGTGTGAAAAGATATTCCGCATGATATTAATTTTGCCCTATTTCTAACAAAATATTCTGTTTTTTCAGATAGTTGCGCTTATGTATGACGGTAAATGTGACTTTTGTTACTCAATCACAGATTATAACTATCAGGTAAGTTTGAGGCAGCAGTGAGAGCTACTGCCATCTGTAGGTTGGAGTTGGCATCATTTAAACCCAATGTTTTTGACCATTTTTAGAAAATTTGGATTAAAATCACAATTATGCATTAGCACAAAAAAGTGGAGGGACTGATTGATGTAGCTGGCAGTATATAGATATAATCTGCTTTAATGTGACTGATAAAATGATATTAAGACTAGTTCCAGAGTCTAGTGGGCCACATGGAAAGCTACAGTGGGCCGGACTTGACCCCCGAGCCTCGAGTTTGACACATGGTTTAGATTAAAGCAGATTCAGGTGTTAAACTGTGAAAGCAGCCGTTGCCATGGTGACCCTGGTGTTTATGTTGCAGCGGACCCCCTGGTGGGAAGCATCGCCACACAGTACCTGACCAACAGAGCAGAGCACGACAGGATAGCCAAACAGTGGACCAAACGCTACGCCACATAGAGCCGCGCTCACCCCAACATCACGTCCAACACTTCCTGTCCTCCGGCTCTACGGAATCATCCACCCCTAACCCCCCCACCCCGCTGACATATGAACTGTTCTTTGTTCCATGCTGACTTGAAAAGCTTCTTTTTATACAAAGAGTCTATTGGGATTGTATTTTCCAATACACTGAATGTTGATATGGTCATGAAAAGCTTTAATACTGTTATTGTTCTTGTTGATGTTGCTGTTCTTAATGCATTGTTTATACCATGGTTGCCACTCTGGTCATGTCCTTTATTGAAACGTGTGTGTACTATCCATGGGTCATGTGATGTAAAAATGTTCATACTGAGTGAGAGTGTGTGTATGCGTGCGTGTGTGTGTGAGTGTGAGTGGTTTTCTGTTTCCGGTCAGTAATAGTGCATGGCGTCTGGATGTGTGTTCATGCAGTGTCGTCATGGTATCCGTTGTGTTCCTGCAGACTTGTGGCATGGACTGAGCTCATCATCATGTATGACATTAGGTGTTAGTTTGCTGTACATTTATTGCCTTGTGGGAATACATAGTGAATTAAAACACTGGCTGTAATGTGACAGTCTGTCTCCGTCTGCTGTTTTTCTTCCGATTGGCTCGTCTCTGAGCCCACTTCCTGTCCGAGATGAGCCGTCGCCAGCTCATCTCAGAGGAGAGACTGATTTAGTGGTAGAACCTTTCACTTTACTTGGATTATTTGCCACTGCTTCATATTTATGTTCTGCTGAATTGACTTGGTGCTGCCAAGTCAAGCAGCACTTAGGCTGTCCTGGACTTCAGTCCCACGGTTACGTAACGGGTTTTCCCACGTCCTGTCCGCTCCGTCTGGTGCGCCTCAGGAAAAACCAGTTCCTCTCATTCCATTCAAAAAGTCAAACCCATGTAGAGGTTTAGTACACAGTGACTTTAATTCTCTTCTGCTGAGGATTATGGCTTACAGCTGATGAAATCTCTGAAATTCAGTTTCTGTGAGAATTACATGTGACCAATTTTATAATAACTTAATATAGAAATACATTGCTGTCACCTAAAGCACCATGGAGAAGAGCAGAGACCTGACAGATGGCATTATGGGTTAGATTCTGGCTGTTCAGAGTTCTTTAGCTAAACATGTATATGGAAAGTTGAGTTTAAGAAAAAAGTCTAGCAGAGAAACTTGCACAAGTAACAATAATTGCAACACAGACGATTGCCTGAATTGAAACAAACCCTTTTAAACCTGCAGTATGACTATTAAAACAAAGTTGTTTTTACAATTACGAAAACTGTTTAAAGAATGAGTGAGACAGATAACCTGTGAAAACAATAGATTCCTGTGCTTCCTACTTGGTAAGTTAGTTCTCCGCCATTAGCATGCTGAGCAGCAAAGACGAGCATGATTGACAGCACCAGTGAAGACTGAGAAAGTGGAGATGTAGACGAGTATTTACTCATCTCTAGTTAAGAGAGCTGCTAGACTATTTCATTTGTTGTTTATAATAAACAGAAAAAGTCATCTTGAAGATTTCATCTGCTGCTGCTTCATTCAAAATTTTCCGATTAGGCAGCAAGAAGGAATGTGTTGAGAAGAACTGAATTGAATAAAGCAACTGTTGAGCAAGGAGACACAGACTGGGGTTTAATGCTGACTGTGTGTGTGTGTGTTGCACCTAAACAAACACACACTTGCTGATGACCCTCTTCACACCAGCCACACTCACCTTGTTGTGAGCAGGAGGCACCGCTTTGCTGTGGTTTCACTCTCTAACCGCCTTGCAGAATCAGCAGAGTGGAGCAACAGTGGCAGAGTTAATTATGGTTGACGCATCAGGAGGAGGAGGAAAGGCGGCGGGGGGGCAGAGTGAACCCCCCTCCCCTCCTGTCCCTCCCCGTGCTGCTGCAGGAAGACTGGAGCTGAAAAGGAGAAGTCAGTCATGCTTGGATGATAGCGTAACATTTGCAGAGAGGTCGCAGACCGATGCTTGTGGAAAGACCAGGGTTGGTCTGAGAATGAACCGGAGACATGTCTGCATGAGGAGCCATGATCTGTTCCACATGAACGAGTCACTCACTCAAATTTCCACAAAGGAAGTTTTTTGGTGGTGCCCCCTCCCCTCCCTCCTTCTCTTTTCCATATTTGTTCTGATTTTGCTAATTAAACAGAATTGTTTTAGGTCATCCAACAAGGAAAACCTGAATGGATACTAGCTATGCTTTATAGAATTGTTTCAATTCAGGCATCTGTTGTTTAAGTTCAGACTTTGACTAGACCTTCTGCTGTTCTCTTTTCTTCTCTGTTGCTAACAAGCTGCTGTCAGAACTACATGTCATGAGTTTTAATCAAAATGCAATTTCATCTCTTCACCATTTTGGGTTATTATTTATATTGCTCTTGTTGATGAAGGCATTTGTCACTCTTTGATGGTCTTTTAGTTATTTTATTGAGATTTGATGTGATAGCCCTAAAGTAGCTGTGAGTATGAGCGGTACATTTACTCAGCTCCTCTGAGTCCATGATCTGCTCAGTCTACAGATGAACATTTTCCCTCCATTCCTCTACATGAAACGGCTCACTCTGATTGGATGGAGAACATCAGTCAACATCAGTTTTCAGGTCCAGCCACACATTCTCAGTTAAAATTAGGTCTGAACTTTGACTGGGCCATTCTAACATAAGAATATTTTTGCTGATATTTTATTCTTCTGTTATTTATAATTTCACAGTGAGATGATGTTGCAGTAGAAAGTGTGGGGTTAAAGGTGAAAGCAGCTCCCGCCCGCAGGCTGAGTCTCTGATCTCGTTCTCATCACAGAATCTCATCACCGAGTCCTAATGACATCCTGTGAGCTGCTGGACCGGCACTTCCGGTGAGAGCGGGCACGCTGCCATCCAGCGGTGGCGTTAAGTTCTCTCTCCAGTGTTGCTAACCAAAACACCGGAAACAGTACTTACCCCACTCAACAAAATAAAAGGCACTCGGTTCTGTTAACCACAAACAACAGGAAATAAACGATTTTAATCGTTTTGGATTTAAAAAAAAAACAAAACAAAAAAAACATTTTCAATACCTCCAAAGTCACAATATTTCTTTATCCGATTATGTGTGAATTCTGCAGATAAGCGAAGTGTTTTCTGTTAGAGAAAAAATATGTCTATAGTAGAGAAACTAAATGTTTTTCAGATTTTGTATCTTCACTCAGAGCCGGACAGAGGCATAAGTAAACTATGGCGATGACCAAAGTTGCAGAACCTGCTGACCTGGGTCTCGGCACAACTGTCTGTGGGCCAAATGGATAGTCTGACAAATTCACCACTTCTACACGTTTCTAATGAATCTAATTTATTGTTTGAAAGCTTCACATGCCAAAGACTTTTGCTTATTAATCTTCACATATATATCAACTTGAGTTTCATCCTAATCTTCATCTATAGGCTTTAATTTGATGCCAGTCAACCCTTTGCAGTTCTAACAGCTTCAGCTCCTCTGGGAAGGTTCTCCACAAGATTTAGGAGGTTCTTTATTTTTATAAAACTAACAACCCATTCAAATATGTAACAGTGAGGTCAGATGTCTGGACAAGACAGCCTTGCTTGAAGTTTCATGAAGTTTGGAGGACTGTAGCTAATGCATCTGCAGATCAGTGAGCGCAGTGCACCTCAGCATCCCTCCTCCGGGATTTTACATAGGCTAGTGCAGAGGTTCCCAAACTGTGGGGCGCGCCCCCTATGGGGGGCGCCGTGTCATTGCAGGGGGGCGCGGGAAGCCGTCTGGATGAAAAAACAAAACAAAACAAAACATGAACACTGTATGCACTGGGTTTTTACCTTAGAATGACCAACTCTCTGTTATTCCTATGTCAATTTGATACAGTAGAGGCTTCCACACTTCCCATATTTGTGTCCTCTGTCACTTTTATCAGTTAAAACTGTTTAATCCGTTGTTAACATGTTGTAACCTGTTTTTCCGAGCCGCCTTTAAACGCAACATGAGCGCTACGACGCTCGCGCTGGGTTTCCACCTGTGAAGGAGACCTGCTGCTGCTGTGGAGCTACGTAGGTTTGTGTTAGAATCACGGCAGCAAACCAGCAAAGAACTTTTCACAGTTTTTCCCTCCAAACTAACCGACTGAGTTGAGTAAAGCTGTTAGATGCAGGTAAAGTTAGCTAAAGGATGACTAGCTAATATCAATACAGAACCTTAAGCTTAACAAGTACCTTGTAGGCTTCCGAGGTTTGTGTCTATTTTCAGCTACGTACATTCATTTTGCCCCCAAAAAAGTCAATGCTCCCCCCTCGTCGTTTCAACCAGACAGCCATTTGTAATCCATAGGAGGGGCGCAGAAGAAAAAGTTTGGGAACCACTGGGCTAGTGGGGCTTCCACACCGTTCGCTGTGGAGCTAGACTGAAAACACTACCAAACGCTGCAGAGTACAGCACAAATGAGGAGTTTTCAGAACAAGTTTAATCTGTAAGTATTTTATGCAATAAAAGAACATTAGAAATAAACGTGCTGAGAAAAAGAGCGGAGCAGAAAATGATGAAAATCCAGTGATTCAGAGAGCAGTATGGTGTTTCTGCTCAGTCTGGAGTGATTTGATAAATATCCTGTCTCTTTGACTGAATCTGTCACAGCTCCAATGCTCAGCAGTTTGCTTGAACTTTGACCTTGGCAAGGACAGCAACCCATGGAGCTCTGGGCAGCCAAACTTCACACAACACAGTTTTTTTTACAGCAAAAAGCATCTGTTTGTCTGTCTGTCTGTCTGTCTGTGGCTATAACTGAGCAAATCAGTTGTGAGGATCTGCTCATTGTACAATAATACATAAATAAATCCTGAAGACTATTTTCATAATAGCTGTAATAGAGTAGAAGCATTTAAAACCTGTAAAGATAAAATGCACTTGATGTATTTATTTCCAGTTTTATGTAAATTATCAGCAGAGTAAGTGTTTAATAATTCTGACTTATTTCTTGGATTGTGGCTCTTTTGGCCTTCCGTACAGAAAACACTGTAGCACACCATGCTTCTGTTACTGTGGGAAAGTAGGCCGAACTTCCCATCTTTTATTTTTTAAGAAAACTATTTTTCTTTCTGCTGCTGTTCTCTGCAAAGTGCCGCAGATATTCGGTGTTGTTTCTGGACCCTCACTGTGATTCTGAATCAGATCCACAGATGATTGGATCATGGCGTCATGCTTTTATTTGTCAGAAGTTGACCGGAAGTTTCCCGTCTTCTCATTAAAGTATTCTGACAGTGGTGCGTCCAGGCGGCGGAGACACACACAAAGAAAGGTATCTAAAGCCATATATTAATATTGCTGGTGTTGTGAGATGCTGGACCTTTTGACCATGTTCTGACTGTAAACATGTCCGTGTTCGCGGCGGCGGACGGTTCGGAACCGGTCCATCCTGCGGCTGGCTGCCTGCACTCAGATCAGCTGCAAGTCGACGGCTGTTGCCGTTCAAACGTATTTATTTCCGTACGGTTTGTTTGGTTTGTGTGTCGTAGTGAGGGTCGGAGATGTTAAAAGCTGTCTAATTGGACCGGAACGACTTCGCGAACCACCACAGGTGAGAGTTTAAAGGCGACGTCGCCCTGTCGAACTCTTCTTTTCTCCGCCTCGACCTGCTCCTCTCAGCAGGCAGCGAAGGGCTGATGTGCGGCCGTGTATCCCTCCGTGGTGTCGACCAGAACCACCAGGCCCAAACACCGAACCGCTCCACCGAATGGTCCCCTTTGTCGCAACCCGACAAGGCTGTAAATACCAGCGCCGGGCTGAGAGCGTTAGCTGGAGCTCATGTGGAAGGAGAACGTGCGAGAAGGCGTTCGGGACGTGGGAACTGGTGGGTCCAGTTGGCTGTTCCCGTCCGGTCCATTCCTGGCCTGCTGTGGAAGCGGCCCAGTCAGGTTCCCAGCTGACCTCCCGCAACGATAATATAAACCGTGTGTGCAGGAGAACCAGGCAGGACTGGCAACACTCAAACCAGAGCAGCTGGTCTGTGTAGCGGAACCAGAACTGACTGGGAACTTAAAGCCCCCAGAGAACTGATGGTACGTTCAATGACCAAAACCCAACTGAAGCACGACTTGAAGTGTGAGGTTTCTCACCAAACCGGACCTTGAAATCCAACATGGCTGCCGAGCTTATAAATCTACTGATGGCCACAGTGATGATGAAACTTAACTTCAACTTACTTATTGTCACATACTCTGTACTGTACAACCTGTTGCTATCCACCTTATTCCTATAACCCATGATGCTTTGCATGAATTGTGTGCATCACTTCTAGCTGGCTCTCTAAGTCTGAGTGAAAATAAGGATTTAAATGTGGGAATATCAGTGTTTACCTTTTAAAAGCTACAGTATGTAACTTTTAGAAAAAAACATGAGTTTGCATATTTGTTAAAACTATCACTATGTTGTGGCAGTATGAGACAGATAATCTGAGAAAAGATTGAGTTCCCCCCTGTGGTCCTACTGCCATCTGCAGAAATACAGCAAGTTCCCAGATTTTTGGAATGCAACTCCAAATTATTCATGGAAAACCTGCCTATCTGTTAATTTTTCATAGAGGAATCTGAAATATTTAAAGAAAAAAAAAGCTTGGGAAGCTAAACTGCCTCTCTGTAATTCTACTGGACACTATTGGCTGGTGTTGGCAAAGCAGCCAATCTGGTAGCGTTTTTTTTCCTTGGTTATGATTGGCCATACTCTTCAGAATGTGGCTTGTAGCCTCTGCGATAGTGCTAATACAATTACCACTGTCTGTATTAATACATATTGAGGTATATTTGTTGCGCGAACTATTACTGAAGGGAGCTCTAAGTGTAGAAACAGGGCTCCAGTCCGTTTATTCCTTTGACTTGTCGTCAGATGGTTTTACATGGAAACATGAAAGCTTTACTCTGTGTTCCTGCTGGTCCCCAAGGCTCGGTATGTCGGATGAAGATTCCCGTGCCAGCACAAGCTCTTCTTCCTCTTCATCTTCCATTCATCATCATCAGCAGCAGCAGCAGGACGTAAACCCTTCAAAGAAGCGAGAGAGCAAAGTCAGCATGAGCAAGACCTCCAAGCTTCTGTCTACCAGCGCTAAAAGGTGAACCCTCTCCTTTAGTCCTGCCTTGTCTCGTCACAGAACAAGGTAGCGGTTTTCCTCCATCTTTACATGATTAGATATTGTACTCTGGCTCCATTAGTCCTAATTCAGAGTGAGAGTTTGATTAAAAGATGTTAAATTTAACATTTTATTGTTTCTTTTTTTCATTGTTCTTTGAAGAATTCAAAAGGAACTGGCTGACATTACACTGGATCCTCCTCCGAACTGCAGGTGAGTGGTAGTATTTCAGTCTCATCTGTTTGGAGTTGGTAAACGTTAACAGGAATCGCCTCTACCTGTGTAACAAGAAGGTGTTAAATATTAAGGGTGTGACACAGGAAGCTCTCTGAAGATCTTCCTTCCTATTAGCATTATACCATCAACTGATTTTGTTAGTTTTGCAGACTGTGGGTTGATTTGAATTGACCAAATCTACAGTATATGACTGGATCAGAACCAGATCTGTGTTGTGACATGGTGCTGTATGAATTATCTGAATTAGGGGTGCACTGTCTAACGGATCCTGATTTCCTGAATTTTGGGTGATTAGCAATCGGCCAATGCTAGCATGTGAAACTGATGTTCTCTACCTCCGCAAAGGTCCGAAGACCATGAATTCATTGAAGAACCAGCATTTGATCACTAACCGCCTTCAGAGGAACAGCGTGGATCTAGATGTGTTCTCTCTGAGGCTGACCCATTACTTTAACACACACAACCAGCAGAGGGAGAGTAGATGTCAGGTGGTGAGAACAGTGTCTCATTCTGCAAAGACCAGCTCCTCCCAAACAGCTTTTTACAAGTCAGTGAGATGAGCTCTTTGCAAACTGTGGCAATGTGAGGCTACATAGATGCATGGAAGCTACACTCCTGCTGCTGTCAGATATGAGGGATCCCAGGACTACCTTGCTGTACTCCACGTGATCTCTTGTCCATTCCGATGAGAAAATGTTATGTTATGGTGAAAGATTCAGTTTTAACCAACTGAATGGGGGAAGAGGGAAGGCGGAGGGGTGACAGAACCGCTATGTGGGCAGCAGCTTCTTTCATGAAGCCAGATTTGGTCTGTCTGGCCTGTTTTTAAACAAGCCTGGTTGGTTTAGACACCTGAAAATTAAAGCAATCTGTTCTGCTCATGGATCCGCTCCTCTCTACGATCTGTGCATCTCCAGGTCTAGGGTACAGGGATGGGTCATGTCCTGTTTCATGCCTTTTATTTCCCGGTCAGATGTAATGACAGGTCTGTCGGTGAGTGTCAGCTCTAAATAACCGGTGTGTGAACTTGAGGTTGTCCCGTCTAGACCTGGAAGATGAACTGACGGCTTAAACTCCAGCAGTTAGCTCTCTGACAGCCTCCAGGAGCTTTTAGAAGACACTTAGTGGATTTAGGTGTCACTGTAACAACCCTGACTCATATCCTGACCTACAGATGGCTGAATGTACACTTAACAACTATAAACCTCCTGCACCAAGAACCACTGAAGGAAACAACATGAAAACCTCTGAAGAAGACTCTGACTTCCTTCATGCAGTGTAAACAAAAATAGTCAGATTTTAGGATTTCTCTTTTGTTTCTCATAAAAGACCAAGGGTCATTTCTGCCACACGTTTGTTTTAGCTGTTTTTACCCTGAATACACAGCGCTGCAGTCCGCTTCTTGCTTTTGGAGCGGTTTCTGGTCCACTTGGTGTTCACATTTGCGTTCAAACTGCACCAAAGTTCACTTCAACCAAACCTAGACTGAGGTTTGTAGATGAACCAGAGTTCACTTTTTTTAGTCTGCGTCAGAGTTCAATTACACATTCACAGCTCCCCAAACCAACTGGATTACAGCGGACTGAACAGGGCTGGTGTGAACGCACGGCCCTGATCCTTTTAGTTTTCCCCTGTTGTTCCAATGCAGTCTCCCCTTTTTTTACCATTCTCCTAACTGTCCCCCAAACATCCTGGGATCTGCCTGATTTCAGTCTTAAACTGTGGAAAACATGAGATGACCCCTAAATCAAGGGTGCCCAAAGTGGGTCCTCGGGGGGCCGGCATCCTGCATGTTTTAATTTTCTCCCTGGTGGTGGTAACAACCTTTTCAGCAAGTCAATGTTCTCCTGAGGCCTTCTAATGATCCATCATTTGATGCAGGTGTGTTAAACCAGGGTGAGAACTAAAACATGCAGGATGCCGGCCCTCAAGGACCCACTTTGGGCACCTCTGCCCTAAATCAATAAAGCCAGAACTGGCATATATAACAGTTTGACATCATCACTGCAAAGTGCAGCAGGCCAGTAGCTGATGAGCAGGGCGGTGTGCTACAGGCTGTGTTGTTGGAGCCCTGAGGTTTCTGAAAAGCTTCTCTGTAGAGGAAGTGGCTGGCCCTGTTACCTCAACAAGCAGCTGAGCTCTAAGCTACTGCACGCACACACACACACACACACACACACACACCATTTAAAAGGTGAAAGTTCCCTTCACTAGGTTGAGGTGTATCTAGTGCTGCAGCAGCGCTGCTAGTGTCTGCTGTGTGCCTGTGTCATGGTGGAGTAATGCGGTTCTGAGGACACCCGCCGCAGCAGAACCTGCACCACTCGGCCCGGCTGGCTCAGCATGTTGGCAGCTGCTTGTGGAAAGACTGAGTCAGTGCAGCAGCAGCTGCAGCTGGGTCAGACATGAAGGGAGCATGTTACATGTGTGTGGTTGATGTGTTGAACTGATGGCTGTTGAAAACATGAATGTGTGAGTATATTTACAGGGGAATTCTTGTTACACTTCCTTACAAATGTAATCATAGACTTGAAACTTTTTCACATCTTATATTTTTTTTTATTTGGAATTTGGAGGAAAAGAATAGTTGAAACTTCATTTTTTACAATAAAAATCTGCAAAAGTGACTTCAGGGTGGCTAACATTACACTCTGAGCACAGAACCAGTCTGAACCCGGTTCTGCTCCGTACAGCTGGTTGGATTCAAAGCAGGGCTGGGTATTTATTGTATCATGTATCATTTATTGCAATAAATTTCTTCTAAAATTTTGATTTAACGTTGTCACAATACATTACAATTCCAGTTGTTACAGACTACAACCACACAATATCACAATAAAACTTTTAAGTTCATATTCCCCACTTCCAGTTCAAAGTTCATCTGTTTGTTTTTATCAGTGTTTTTACTTCATTGTTCATCAGCAGGATGTAGCTATGCTCTACAGCAGCAGAAAACCCAATGAACCACATGTTGAGAACCCCAAACAGGTTTCCAGGTGATTCTTCAACAAAAACAATGGAAGCAGATCATGGATCAGAATGTTCAACTACCAACTGTAATAATAATAATAATAATAATAATAATAAAACCAGAATCTGCCATCATGGAGATGTCGTGAAGGCAGGGCTATGTCCACCCAGGCATTTTGTACAGCTGAATGGTTGCCATGGAGATTTAAGGATTCCTCAAACATGCATGATAGGATCAAGGCAACACTCCAGGTATGTTTTTGATGAGGGAATAACATTATAAGATGACGTAAAGCTCAAAAAAAGTACTAGCCCTTTAAGATATTTGTATGTCAGATGGACTCTGCTTGTTGTGCAGCCACAGAATCAGTCATACTGAGAGTAGATGACACACTAAATTTTCTTTGTTGGTGTCAGGGTAAATGGGGCTGGATGGGAATGTGTTCAATCTGATTTGAAACCTTTCTTCCCTCCAGCAGCTCTCAGACATTCTGATGGAAACTTTCCAGATCAATGTATTGAGACGTGAACACTGCAGACATGCAAGCAGTTCCTGCCTGCAGGCCCAGTAACAAAAACAGGTTGGGGTGTGAAGAGGCGCTGGAGCACATGCGGGCAGAAATAAAACGCAACATTAACCTGGTTTATGCTGACGTGGCTGCAAATCTGACCGAAACTATTACAGACTTTGTGCTCCTTCCTAATGTTACTCTGCTGACCTACTGCAGTCGGCCTTTCCTTCAGGAGACGAATGTCCTTCCATCATTTCATCTTCCTCCTAATAAGCTGCACAGTGGGAGGGGGCTAGATCCCCAGGCTGTTTCTGACTTGTAGCCAGGGGGCGCTGATGACTCGATCTGATCTGGTGCTGAAGAGATGAAGAAGCTGCAGTGTTTTCAGGTGTGTCCGCTCAGTGTGAGGCACTTCAGAACCAAATGTCTGTCTGTGTGTGGGAACACACGAGTAATTGAAGTTATGCAAAACCTGCACTAAGCTGTAAACAATGAGCTCCTGTGTGTTCATTCACAGGTTCAAAGGTTAAACCCTGGGTAGTGTTGCTTCTCCTTTAAGCATTCAGTTTTTTGTGGCTGCTCCTGCAGCAGTCTGTGCACTAAGAGGTGCTGGGAGAATGTCCCCCTGACGGCAGCGATAGTGACGGTGTTTCCTCACAGCGACGTGCTGCTGAACAGAGCAGCTCAGGTCAGACGGATGGAAAGGATGACGTTAAGCTCTAATTGGGTCAAAGATTCTGTCAATATCGTTCAACTTTATTTGGCTGGTTTATTTAGTTTATTTTTGAAAATGTGCAAATTTTCAGAAAATGTAGTCGTCATCTTTTTAAAAGAGTTTAGTTTTTCTTTATCTTAAAATCTTAAAATGGGAATATTGAAGTTGCAGTTTAAAAATTCCAACAGATTTCCTTTCCTGCAGTAAATATTTGTCAAAAATTAGAGGATGTTTTTTTTTTTTTTTTTTTCAAAGGTTTGTGGCTCAAAACACATTTTATTTAGCCTTTAGGGAAGCTTTAGGAAATTCTAATGCCAACAGATAATATCAGGTTTCTGCATAGAAGCAGGAATGGCAATCAGTTCAGATATCGATCAATACTGCAGCATCCATTCTGGAAACTTCCAATAAACCCAAAGTACAGAAACATGGTTTCAGTCACATTTCCAGATTATTGGACTCTGATGGAAGGTTTGCCCTCTGACCTTGTGTGAACTGAACCCACTCCGGACTCTCTCTCTCTCTCTCTGTGTGTGTGTGTGTGTGTGTGTGTGTGTGTGTTTTGACAGTGCCGGCCCTAAAGGAGACAACATCTATGAGTGGAGGTCCACCATCCTGGGCCCCCCGGGCTCTGTGTACGAGGGAGGAGTGTTCTTCCTGGACATCGCCTTCACACCAGACTACCCCTTCAAGCCCCCCAAGGTAAGGATTCTATACAATACATACATTCACTAGATCAGAATACTACTGAAAGGCCTGTTTAGTTCACAAACCTCACCAAGTGAAACATATAGATTACAAATTGATTTCTATTAATTATGAAGATTAACCCTTATAGCTAATGAAAACACAAAATTTAAAATTAGAAGATTACATCAGACCAATTTTAAAAGCTATTTTTAAAACCGGAAACATGGATGGAGGCCTGTCATGTTGACATATTTCGCTGGATGATAAATTCTAAAAAAATAAAAAAAATAAAAAAATTCTAAAAGAAAACTTTGAGTTTCAAATGTTGAAAATGTTCAAATTTTTAAAAAATTTGTGGCTGTTTTTTTTTTTTTTTCTATTTACATTGCCCCTAACATACCATAGTAGGTTGAAGTATTTCATAGAACCCATACGCTGCATTTAATTTAGATGTGTAATGTTCAGATTTTCCACCAGAGGGCACACTTCATCCTTGGAAAAAAAACCAACTTTTAAAGTGTGAAATTATGGCAATTACCTTGTGGGACTTGGTTGTGACAGTCCAGTCTGTGGGATCAGAGTTGTTTGGACTCTGATCTGGTTCTGAGGTGGAACAGAACCAAACAAGTGGTTTTTTTGGTGGTGTTTCACGGTTTCTCACAGGGGCATTGTGTGTGTCATCAGGTGACGTTCCGCACCAGGATCTATCACTGCAACATCAACAGCCAGGGGGTGATCTGCCTGGACATTCTGAAGGACAACTGGAGTCCTGCCCTCACCATCTCCAAGGTCCTGCTGTCCATCTGCTCCCTGCTCACCGACTGCAACCCTGGTGAGAGATCTGTAGCACTCAATACTTTCTCTGATGACATTCAGTGGTTCCCCCCACCCCAGTCTGCCCCTGGTCCATACTGATGTCGTGCTTGTGTTTTGACAGCGGACCCCCTGGTGGGAAGCATTGCCACACAGTACACCACAAACAGACCAGAACACGACAGGATAGCCAAACAGTGGACAAAACGCTACGCCACATAATCAGCAGAGCGATCACTGCTGGGACAAGTGGGTTTGGGGGGTGGGGTGGGGTAGGGGTTGATTTGTAGCAAAAGTGTGTGTGTTTGTTTGGGGCGGGGGGATTTTTACCTTGCAGCTGAAGTCTTAACTTGTTTATTGTATTTTAAATTATCTGCAGCCCGACTGTAACCCCATGTTGTAGCCTGAGCTCCAGGATGGCTGCTTCCTGGAGTCGCCATGACTACCAGTCAGATGTTTGGTGTTTGCTTCTCCTCCAGAACACGAAGTTGATTCACTCATGTAGACATGTTTAGGTGTGGATGGATGTTGGTTGTGATTTGTGTTCGGACTGTTCTGTTTCTCCCTTTGAAAGAATTAAACAAAACCAAGAAGTCCGGTTGGGTCCGGTTCCATCGTCTCTTTATTGTGATCCGGTACAGATAGAATCATTAGCTGACCCTGTGCTCTAGCAGCACGTTCAATGCTAACACGGCTCATTCACCCCGACGCCATCCTCACATCAAGGAATGTGGCTCATTAAAGTGACAAATATAAATTAGTTAAAAAATAAATATTTCATCTAAACACTGATTATTTCTACATTGAAGACTAACAGAAGTAAGCAGCTTGGTCAAAAAAAAACATGCATGCACGCGCACACACACACACACACACACACACACACCAACACCAACCATTCATCTAGTAAAGGGAGTAGCAGGAAGGTTATTGTTGGCTGTGGTTGGTGGACATGAACCAGACAGAGCTGAGTCCTACAGAGGACCAGGAGGAATGCCACTTTTGTTATCAATGATGAACTTTCTGCAGCTCATCTACTCGATCTAAATCAGATTCTTTCTTCCACTGATGAGTCTATTAAACTCCTAGCCTTCCCATGAAACATGTCTCTGATTAACAGGGTTCTTGTTGGGACTGGTTCCCTGTATCGAAGTTATAAAACCTCCAAAATCTGCCCTCAAACTGTCCCTGAAGTCCCAGAACCACTTTTTTCTTTATTTCCTTTATCTACGAGAATAATAGAGTGAAGCAGGACCGCCCCACCCCACATGTGGCTGCAGGTTGCTGACTAGTTAGCTAACAGCAGCTAGCTAAAAAGAAAAACAAGTCTCTGCAAATAGCAGTACTTGTCTATGACAGAGGATTAGAGCAAGAAAAAATAAATACGTTTTCAAGAATAAAGTTGTGATATTGCAAGAAAAAAGTCGTACATTAATGAAGTCTAATTCAAGAATAAAGTACGACAAAAAAGTAATGAGAATGAAGTCAAATATATGAAAAAAATATAATTCGAGAATAAAGTTGTAATGTAATATTCGGAGACTGTTGTAATTTTATGAGAACAGAAACACAAAAAAATTAAAACAAAGAATGCTGGTAATCTTGTGATGGCTCCATTTTACAAATGGAACATCATTCATCTTAACACATCAGCATCCAAATATCATCAATGACTTGTGCAAACTGATTATATTTCAAAGAAAATCCTCAGACTAGATGAGTTGCTCGCATGAGGTCTTGATCATTTTATCAAAGATTTCTCTTATTAAAACAACTTTTTTCTAGTAATTTTACCACTTTCTTCTGGCAATATTACATCATTAAATGACTTTATTCTTGTAATTTAAAAAATAACCAATTTTTTAGTCCCTTGTGTGGAGGTAACACTGAGATCTACAGCTGGTCAGACACCCTGACTAACAGCATGTTAGCCTATAGAAACAATACTAACCTGCTGAATGAACACTGACAATTGCCAGCTGCTTTTACAATCAAAATAATGAAACTCGAGCTAACATCACTATCAGTGCAGTCCAGGTTTAAAAACGGCTACATTTTGTTTTTAAGTCATAAAGTGTCATCATATCAGCCCAGACTGAACTGGGATTGGCCTCCAGCTGTGTGTCGCCTGGTTCACCAATATTCTGATCAAAACCTTTAAAACACGCCGCCATGCAAGCAGCCGCTCACACATCTAAACCGGGTCAGGCCTCTCAGTCCGGCCATCTCCACGGTTATCAGCTCTGCTGATAGCAGCAACTCTGGATAATCCAGCAGGGGGCAGCAGAATCCCTTTTAGGGATTTGGATGCTCAATGCTCAAACTGGATCAGTCTCAACCTCAGCCTCACGCCATCAACAGCAGGAGGAAATTAATTAGCTACAGACATGAATATTAATTAGAAATCTACTCACTAACATCAGTTCACATATTGCACTATGATTTCTATTACAGCAACCTCAGTGGACTCAGGAAGCTGCTCCACCTGACCAACCACATGCTGCCATGTTTAAGAATCAAAGAATCAAGCCTGTATATAATGTTCTAACTGCAGATGGTTAACACTGCAGAGGAGTGTAAACTGGTTGAGTTGGGGGTCCGGGTGGGCGGGGCCTCTCAGATGTCATTGGAGGCCGTGCCTTTGCTTTTGCGTCCAGGCAGAGGGAAGGCCGACTTGCTCTGCGGCTGGGTCAGCCGGCTGGTCAGCTGGATGAAGGGTTCGATGAGTGAGCCGCGCTCTGTCACGGTCACCTCCCACAGCTTCACCTTCTCCCCCCGTGCCCACTGCTGCGCCGCCTCCTGCTCCACCTGACGGAGCTCGGTCAGGTCGCTTTTGTTCCCCAGGACGATGATGGTCACCTGGAAACACAACACACGTTTAGTAAGCTAATGTGGAGCACGGCTCACAGGAAGCTCAGCAACCTAGCGAACAGCACATGCAACTCTCAGATCAAGTGTTGGCACATGTGTGATGTTCCTCTGGCTTCAAGAGCCCAGGGTAGGACCCTCTGTGGTTCTATGGCAGGCTGTTTTACCATTTAGTCAGAGTGTAGCCAGAGATAACGCAAATACGCATTTTGTCTGGTCAAAATATAATTAGATTAAAGGCACACTATTATGTAAAATCAACCTTTTTAACCTTTTCATCATGTTATAATTTTATTCACTCATAAAAAAACACACCTGGTGTGTTGCCTTGATTCTTTCATACGTGACTGAGAAATCCTTTAATCTACACGCCAACTATTCCCCTGTGAAAAACGCCTGGGTGGACCTAGCCCCGCCTTTGAGGCGCAGCTCCTCCTCAGAGCTGCAGTTTTCAAACTTCTGCCTCACAAAGCAGCTCTCCCCACCACTCCACTGGATGAAGAGAATCTGTTAGCAACAACAGATAAAGTCTTGCCACAGATTCCCTGGTTTAGGTCTGAACTTTAAGTAGACCATTCTAACAAATAAATACACTTTAATCCAATTGATTTCATTGTACCTGTTTTTAGCTCCATCCATCTTTCTGTTAATTCTAAGCAGCTTCCCTGTCCCTGCAGAAGAAAAGTTTCTCCAAAGCATGATGCCGTCACTACCGTTCAGATGGTATATTCAGGATGATGTGCAGTGTTATGGCTTTCGTCTTGCTGGCATACACAACTCATCAGAAGCAGCTTTCTGCAGCTCCTCCAAAGTCATCTGTGCAGGTGGTCCATCCTCTCTCTGGTCAGATGATGGATTGATCAAAACTCTGGGAAATGTTCAAAGCTTGGGATGTTGTTGTAGAAACTAACCCAGCTTTAAACTCCTACACACTTTTCTCTCTGACCTGTTGGCTATGGTTTGACCCTATATCAGAAGTATTTTTGAGATGAGGTGTAAGTGCAGCAAACAAGCATCACCTCCTTCTTGTCTCTGGACTTGTCGATTTCCTTCTTCAGGAAGTCAATTTTCTTGAAGGACTCCAGGCTGTCGACACTGTAAACCAGCACGAAGCCGTCGGCCACAGAGTAGTAGTGCTTCGGGAGGTCTTGAGTATCTTGAAGTCCTTTGGTGTCGTAAAGCCTCAGCTGCTCCTTCACCCCTCGATCGGTCTCCACCGACGCCACGTACACGTCCTCCTGCGTCTCATTGGACTCAGAGCCTGGACACCAACAGGAAGACACAGCCAGTCTTTCGGCAGCAATAACAACACTGTCCCACAGCAATGCTGTCAAATTAGGGCATATTAGGGCCACTGCAGATAAAAAAGTAAATTAAAAAAATTGTAAATATTTTTTTTTAAATCACTGAAATTTTCTTGGAAAAATAAAAAGAAAAGGCGTAAATTTACGCCAAAAAAACCCCTCAGAACTTTTGAGGTTAATCTCAGAAATCTTCCAGATTAAAAACATGGAATTATCGGAATTTTAAAAAAGTCTTAATGTTAAATTTTTCAAAACAGAAATTTTCACGTTTTATAGAAATTTTCTAAGATTATTCTCTAAATTTCCGTGTTTTTGGCGGAAATGTACTTTCCCCCCCTTTTTTAAAATCTACAATGGCCCTAATACGCCGTCATTGCCTACCAACTGCGTCGCACTTGAATTTCCCCATTGAGGGATAGTAAAGGATATTTTTATTTTATTCAGTACGAGGTTTTTAATCTGTACAAACACAAACTGTGCTCTGTTAAAATATCAGTTACTTTATTTTCAAACAGGTCAGTGAAGTTGAACGCAATATTTCATGTAAATAAAGGACCAGTCGCTGTAATTAGTATTTGTTGCCTTGGAGTCAGAACCCTGCTTACCAACAGAGTGGTTTCCATACAGCAGCTGCTCCAGAATGGCTGTTTTCCCAACCGCTGCCAGGCCACACACCACCACTTTACAACCTTTTCCCATTTCGACCCTGGGTTGAGAGAAGATAAAGCGGGTCCTTACTGACGGTCACGGCTGATTGGCATGTTCCACCTGCATTCACACGAAAAAAACGTCCCTTTAAAGAAGCAGAAAAGCTCCCATCTAGGAGCAAGTACTCTGTTGCTAGCAACTTCGCATTAACGTCTTGTGCTGCGTGATATAAACACACCAATAAAAGTCGAGCTGCGAATAAACTTTTTGTTCACAATATCTACACATAAAATACATTTGTCAAGGTGAACGAACCCGGAAACTGTCTGTAAAACCACAATAAAAAGCCGGTGTATCCATTCTGTAGCTACATTGGTTGTTTGCTCACAGCGCATGCGCGTACTGTGAAGTAGATATTTTTGCCCGTACATCATGAAGGCGTAATTTGATTTTATCAAACTAAACAGTAAGAGCAGTTCATAAACAAAGAGAATAATTGAAAAATATATACATAAAATGAATAATTGAAAAACCACATTTCCCATGAGCACCGGAAAGGAAACGAACTGCCATAAAGCATGCTGGGTAAAATCCCTCTCTCTTTCCGGCTGGTACGCCATCAAGTAAGCTAGAATTCCCATACTTCTGAAGCAAACACAATCCACAAAAATCATTGTTTATACAGATTCATCTGCTGATCCAACTTAGGGGATAGATTCGGATGTTCGTTATCGTCTTTTCATCTCGGCTATTTTGTGATAAATATTTTGAATTCTGTGATTAAAGTCTTAGTTTAGTTGGACGTGCATTCTGGTAGACCGCTAGCCATTAGCATTCCTGTTGCTGAAGCGCTAGGTGCAGGATTTATTTAAATACAGAACATTTGAGTTGTATCCTGACTTCGTTGTCTTTTTATCAGTTATAGTTTGTGGCGTAGTGTCCTAAATATTAACCTCGAGAGAGGTGGTGGCGCTAAGCTAAGCGGCTAACACTGCTGCTTTATTTGTAGCATGTAGTTGAACGTGGATAAGTTATCCATTGGCAATAGAACACATTGATTCGGTGATTGTTGTTTGTTGGGTACTTCATCATATTTGACATGTCTGTATGGGTTTGTACGTTAAGGTGTGTATAAAAAGAATGAGCCATGTTGTGAGGAATCTGAATGAAGCCATGTGTAGTCCCATGCTTCAGATTTATTGACCAGTGAACAGCCAGTCTGATTTCTTTGGAACTCATTAAACTGCCATCTGAGTTGACATTGTCTGAAATATTTATGTCCTTTAGGTAAGTCAACATGGGAGCCTACAGGTATATGCAGGAGTTGTGGCGCAAGAAGCAGTCTGATGTGATGCGCTTCCTGCTCCGCGTTCGCTGCTGGCAGTACCGTCAGCTGTCCAACCTCCATCGGGCCCCCAGACCCACCAGGCCTGACAAGGCTCGTAGGCTGGGCTACAAAGCCAAGCAGGGTGGGTACTTCCCTGTGGACTTAATGGGGAGCAGTTCAATGCACCGTTCATCATCGGTGCTAGCTTTAACTATTGTCTGTTTTCATCCAGGCTACGTCATTTACCGCGTCAGAGTGCGCCGTGGTGGCCGCAAACGCCCCGTCCCTAAGGGAGCGACCTATGGCAAGCCGGTGCATCATGGTGTGAACCAGCTCAAATTCGCCCGCAGTTTGCAGTCCACTGCTGAGGTATGAGAACAAGCTGCATTTCACCAACCTGGTCCCAACTATCAGTTCAGCGTCGTGTTGAAGTGACACTTTGACATGGAATAGATGTCTAGTTCTGTAATTTCCAGTTGATTAAACTTGTTTTAGAGCTCAGGGTTAACCAGAGGAGGCCCAAGAGAAAAACAGAGCTCTTATTCATCACAACTACTCCAGGCTCAACACTTTATAGCTGTTTGACCTTTAACCCTGAAAGACCCAAACAAAAAATATATTTCAGCAAGCTAGGTGGTTTTGTTGAACAGTAGAGGTGAAAATGTGTTCAGATATTTGTTTTTCTTCGCTTATGTAAAGTTTTATGAAAATGTAATATTAAATATAGTATAAAATTATTCAGGCATTTTGTACAAATATTGCTCAGAAATAAGAACTACACACATAAATCCACCTTGATTTCTTTAACTTTGGACAATTCATGTGAAATGGATCTTATCTACATATTTTGAGGACATGACTGCACATAAACGGTCAGTAATAGTCATCCCACTGGTCCAACTTAGCCACTTTGTCAATATATTTAATAACTTTTGAAACTTAAAAAAAAAAAAAAAAAAGTAATCTGCAGGTCAGGCTTTCTAATAATTTGTGATCAACCAGAAAACTCCAATCGGTGCACATGTTGAAAAACATTGTAATCATCCAAAGATAAACTGGAAATGCATTTAGCTCCCTTGTGGTTCAGTGAATGTCCTGCTCAGTCCATGTGTTTCAGGGTGTGGTTTACTGTGACCCGGTGCTGGGACTTATCTGCAGATTCCCCATCTACATAATTTAAGACTGAACAGTAAGGGGTCAAGTTCTCAAAGTTTGAGTGAAAAAAAGAAGAAAAGTCAACTTTTGGAAATAAATCATCTTTAGTTTGAATTGGAAATATTGTAATATTACAGCAGTGGGTCTTAATTAAAGTATGGTGGGCCATGTACGCCACACGATCTAACCAGTGAAACAAAGTGCAGAATGGAATTTATTCAACCAGAACAACTGATGGGACGTAGAGACATGACTGATCATTTAAACTGTCCTGGACAAACGTATTAAATTTGTTGTTATATTTAAACAGTTTAATACATAACAATGAAGGTATTTACTGGTTATAACCTTTTATAAAAGATGACTGAAGTAGAAGTAGTAAAACCTGACTGGACGTCCTGCTCACTTCAACCTGCAACATCGTTTTTGTAGCTGAAATTTTTAATGGCCAAAAAAGATTCACCATAACCATTTGATCTAAATTCACAGGTTAGTTATTAATATAAAAATCCCAAGAATAGAGCGGCAGTGACTCTTTGCATATTT